AACACAGCTCATTCTATCTTATCTTATATCTCACCTTATCTTAGTATTTACAAGAGGTCTTCCAGACATCCGAATAGAAGAGCTCCTTATACTGAAGGCACATTTTGTTGAGTTGCATCTGTCATTTCCCTCTGTATGCGCAGCCTGTGCAATGGTTTAGGAAGAGGTCTAGGCACCAGTGACTGACCTCTAGTCTCATTCCCGTTTATTCTAACTCATGCAGTTGCACCTGGCTAAGAATGAGGTGTGTGCTAATCTGAGGATCCACCCCGAAGTGATCCTGTTGATGGAGGTTTGTGAAGGAAGACCTGGTGAGGATTAGTAGAATAAGGATGTACATTCACTGGCATTTTTGAGGAAGCAGTAATATCCCAGGAAGGATTTTGTGATCAAAATCCTGTTCTTATTCTGCCACTAAAGCTCATCTTCTGAGATATTTAATGGAGATTAAAGCATTTATAGCCATTACCATAAAACTGAATGTCCAAAAGCACTAAGAATGATATTGCCAATGTTGAAGACGGAAGGTTACACAATAATTCACTTTCCTCTATCACTTTTTTGTATTGATTTATGCCTTCATTGGGAGCAAATTCCAGCTGCTTGTTTAAAAAGGTTTACTCTCTCAATTGGAGTACCAGCAATATTGGTACTTAAGCCTGTATAGATCAGACTGCAGACATGGCTCAAAAACTGCTATTGCCATGCTATAATGGACATGAAACTCCACAAAATAATGTTTGTTTATAGTACTATCTGAACTGCAGCAATGCTGGTAAGGGTGATACTCAGATTGTCAATAGAGACAAGTCTTTGGGCCTAGCACATCCAAGTAGAAAACAGAAGTATGTGAATATACAGTAGCATTTGAAAAAAAGTCAACATTTAGAAAGATATGACCTCAAGATAGTTTTGCCTTTGCCTAGTTTCAGTGTTTCTTGAATTTAATAGAGACTTACAAAATATATGGCCATTTCTAAGTTCTAAAACATTATCAAATGCATTCTAAATATTCTGATTGATGAAGCTCAGATGATACTGCAAATATTTGCCAAGTCTATCGCCCTATTTTTCTGATGTCTTTGGTTTCTGTTAACCCAAAATAGGTCTTTCGAGCATTTCCATGCTTTTAGTATGTCCAAGCAATTTGAGCTGACATGTCTTGTTCTGATTTATATTTTTTTATAAGTGATGGAAATGGACCCCAAATCAAGCAGAATAACATGCTCAACACTGAAAACATGAGCATAAGAGACAAAATGGTGTTCAATTCAAGCTAAGAAAGTGGGGTTTGCTCTCCTCAATGCTGTTAACATGCTGAAGTCCTCCTTCTGAACCAATGTTTTCCATGTATATCAGGATAACTGTTTCTGGCAAACAAGAACTACCTGTGGAAGTTAGACCTTGTGCTTTACAGAAATAATTGTGTTGTGTTATAGACTTTTAGAATCATAGGATCATAGAATACTTAGGGTTGGAAAGGACCTTAAGATCATCAATGTTGTGTGGGACAGTGTCGAACGCTTTGCACAAGTCCAGGTAGATGACATCAACTGCTCTACCCCTGTCCATCAGTTCTGTAGCCCCATCATAGAAGGCCACCAGATTGGTCAGGCAGGATTTCCCTTTAGTGAAGCCATGCTGGCTGTCACCAAGCACCTTGTTGTTTTTCATGTGCCTTAGCATGCCTTCCAGGAGCATCTGCTCCAAGATTTTGCCAGGCACAGAGATGAGACTGACTGGTCTGTAGTTCCCCGGGTCATCCATTTTCCCCTTCTGGAAAATGGGGGTTATATTTCCCTTTTTCCAGTCATTGGGAACTTCGCCTGACTGCCATGATTTCTCAAATATGATGGATGGTGGCTTAGCAACTTCATTTGCTTCAGGACCCACGGATGGATTACTTCAGGTCCCATGAACTTGTGTACGTTCGAGTTTTTAAGATGGTCTCAAACCAGATCCTTTCCTACAGTGGGCCTAGGGTCATCATTCTCACAGTCCCTGCATCTGCCTTCCAGCACCTCACATTAAAAGTAATTATAAAGGACAACACCTTTCCTCTAAATTGTTCACAAGGACACAAACAATCACTAAATGCAATGCTGCAAAGAACTAAGTGATCGCAGTATCACTAATGGGGGGAAATTTCTTTTTCATTGCCCTTATTTGGACATCAGCTACTTTATCAGGATATCCACTGTGCACTTCTCTTTTGTCATATTTTGAAGGAATTGACTCTGTGTTTTCCTAGGGTCAGGTGGAGATAAGATCTGATCCTACTTGGGAGTGCGCTTTCTGGTGTAGTGGGAGAGTTAGATCATTTTTAAAAATTGCTGGTGTCCCTTGCTATGGATTTAGCACTGCAAAATACCAGTGGGCTTGATTATATTGTTTCTGTTTGTGATGAATATAGGAGAATGCTCCTATTGCAGATATGTTTCTGAGATAAAAGATCTCTATAACATTTTAATTTCTCAGAGGAGACCTCTGCTAAAAAAAAAAAAAAAAAGTATTAAAAAAGTCACTTCTTTCAGCTCAATTATAAAATCAGAGCAGATGACTTTATAATGAAAAAGGCTGGAACTCAGCACTGCCCCAGAAGTCAGCACTTACGGATCTGTGCTGCAAAGAACTGTCTCTGCTACAGTTCCACTCTATTTGATGAGGATTCCTGAAATCTAACTGTCAGCTCTTCTGCTTTGCCTCCCCCATTCCCTATTCTTGATCGGCAAGAGCGTGCCTTTTAAAAATAAAGAGCCATTACAGGGAAAAAGAGAAAGAGAAGGAGTTTCTAAATTAACACTGAAATTGTAAGAGACTAATTGTATGTTAGCATCAAACAAACACTGTTGATGTTGGTTTTGGGTTTTGTGTTTTATAAGTTTTGTGTAACCCCTAATCAAACATGGGTGAGTATCTGTTGAAACAATGTATGTAATTTGTTTACATTGTTAGTCGAGATAATTACAAAGCAAGCACAATGGAAATAACTGGTTTCTTACTTTTATGTGGAAAGTGTCGAGGGGAGGGAACTCAACAACTAACCAGCGGTTGTCAGCTGCTCTCTAAAATACTGCCTAATTTACAGTTGTTGCATATTAGCATTGCTAAGAATGCTAGGGACATAAAGTGTCATGTTGAATATAGGGTGATGACTTCATACTAGAGCAAGTCTGGGGATATGACCAGTTTGCAGTCACAGAGAAATCAGCTTTAATTAATTTGAGTGCCAGCACTGTGTATAATTACACAGCATGAGAGTTTGCATGCAAATTCTAAAAAGCTGATTGTTGAAATACTTGCCCTTACTTATTAATACATTGGGAATAAGCAATCCTGGCCTGTAAGCAAGGTATAGAAAGAACACACAGTCCTGTCAGGGTAATTTGCACTACCTGTGGTTATCAAGCAGAATTCAGATAGTTCTGCCTCTTAAGTGATAAACATAACATCTTAGTCATTCTTGAGGGTGACATACCTTGTAGCCCACTCTCTGTGTGCAACTAAAACACGATGATCTATGATTATTAAAGTTGTCAGAAACATAACAGCAGGATTTGAGCTTCATTTATTGTAGACACCAGCTACAACTCAATCTTGCTTTTCAATTTCATTTTTTATTTACTTATTATATATTGTCACTATTCTCAATTAGAAAAAATGGCTTGCAGGCAAATAAAATGTAGAAATTGTCATAGCAAAATTAGCCCTCATGTGATGCTTTGTACCTTTCTGAGACAATGACAAAAGACTGTATGTATCTTTTTCTCCCCTACCCCAGACAGTGCAAGGCTTTTTTCTGGCTTTACAGCTGCTAGAATTATGTTCTGTGGCATCAAAACTGGTAGCCCAAGAAACATAAGTTGTATATAGTCCTGTCCAGTTTTTAATCAGTAGGTTGGCCTTAGCCATGTGTTACTAATCCTGTTTTCGGACAATTTATCACAGTATTTTACTGTGGCAATGAGTTTCACTGATTAATTATATGCTGAATAACAAAATAGCAGGAACACTAAAAACACTATTTCTTAATTTGGATAAAATTCTTTTGTCTGTTGATATACACAGGGAAGAATTCAGAGGTCTTTTCTTGTCATTCATTAATTGATACATCAGTAACATCTGCTGCTACCTTTCTCCTTTCTAAACTTAGGTGGTCCACTCTTTAGTATCTCACCATATGGAAGCTTCTTCATATCTTTAATCATGCTGTTGACCTTCTCTGGGTCTTGTCAAATACATTCATAATCCAGGAAAAAAAGTTTGAATGTACTTGCTCATCACACAGTGATTTTTGTAGACATCCACATTGTACAGCAGAGGTTAATATAGGAGCTTACTTTGTATGCATTTGAATATTTGCTGTTTGTTTCTGTTGTTTCTTAAAGAATGTTTTTCATTTGCAAAACATTAACATTTGTCAGGGTTATTTCCAGCCACACAGAAAAATGTTCCTTTGTGTATTTTGATTATTTAAAGCAATTTTGTTTCTCTAATGCATATGTGCATCCAGCACAGCATGTTCACTGCTTTGAATGAACGTGGGGAATGCTGTTAATTTCCTCATGTGCATGTACAGGGATGCTTTTACTGTCTACTGCGTATGTTAAGATGGGGTTGCTTTGTCTTCTATTTCACATTATTTAGTGCAGACTTCTTCTTTATATTTGAAACGTAATAACTACCATAGATTAAAAAATTGACTATAAACTGTATATGCTAGACACAGTTATGGTTTGGGGCTTCCCAGGGTCCCTAAATGAATTCCAGAGTGCTCTGTTTGGGCACAAGGGGTTTTTACCATGCTTAAGGTGCTGGATGGTTTAGAGGGGAGTCCAACATAACTAGATGGCAGCTGGCAGGTTTTACTTAGATTACAATGAAGAAAACTACTGATGTTCTATAAAAAATTTTTGATTACTTAATTCCATAAATTTAAGAATGCTGTAGATAGCATTATTTCCAAATCCTTTCCCTAAGACATACATTTCTCTGAGCAGATTCTGCTGCATAGACAGCAAAAAGTGCTCAAGGAGGTTTACGCCTCCAGCATGCTGCAAAGTCATCTCTCCCACGGACCTAGGGTCTAATAGCTTGAAATGAGTGTCACAGAGACAAGATTGGTAAGGTGTTCCGAATAGTTTTGTGGCTGTATGTGTTTTCGCTCACCAAGCTTCAAGTACAACTTGAAAATATCATGTTGAGAGGATTATGTGCTTCATCCTGCCTTATATTTGTTTCTAATTTTAAACACATAAATAGTTCCATTCACTTACTGGGATTATTCTTGTGCATAATTTTAAATATGTGCTGAAGTGATTTAGTAAATTGTATTCACAGAAGGCGTCAGAGGCAGCAGTAACAATGAATGTGATGGGCCAGCTGGAGACCAACTGTCCAGTGGAAACATCTCACTCTCTGTCAAAACCACTAGGTCTATTCTTCTCAAGTTTAAAGAAAAATCCTAGTTTCTCAGAATTTCTCACATCTTTCCATGTAAGGCCTTTGTAGGGTTTTTTCTTTGGAGGGAATTCTTCCAGCAGCCCTCATGAGCTGGCCTAAGAGGATATTTTGTGATGTGGTCTCAGTTCAAGTCTTACCAAATGATTCTATCGTATTTATACTGTCCCTCATTGTGTATTTCAAGCAAATGCAGGTATTTTAAAAAACAAACGAAAAGATATTTCCCCATTGTTCAGGAGATTTCAGTAGAGCCCAGAGCTGAATAAGTAATTGACAGTACAGAAAAATACATTTTTTCTTTTTCTGAAACACAAGTCAAGCACAAGACTACAAAGCAGATAGCTATGATTTAGAAAACTATACCTCAGAGTTAATGTTTAATGGATGTGGCACATTCCTTGCTGTAAAATGGTATAAATCACTCATTGAAAGAAAACAACAGAATATTTGAGGAGCACGTTGACAGTTTTGTGTGTTTCAAAGGTGGCATGGAAACAACGACCACCTGAAGACAGTGTTGTATCTCTGTGACAAAGAGCAACTCAACTCTGTTCATTTCATAAACACAGGAAAAAAAGAGTGGATTTTTTATTGTTCTTTTGATTCTGCTCTATCTTGGGTATATTCTTCTTTCTTCTAGCAGGTAGAAGTAAGATTTTTGATCCCTCTTCTATCATTCTTAATTAGAAGCTTTTTTCCATCCCAGTTTTCAGTCTAGCAGACATGAATGCTCTTCACTGTGTTTGACTATAGCATTAAGTGAACTGGCTGTGCCTAGAAGATTTGATTCTGCCACCCTTATTCCTGTTGAGATTGATTTTGATACCAACTTTACCCATCCTGAGATGCTTCTTTCTTCTCAATAATTATATTGAAATCAGTGGGACTATTCACATTACTAACTGCCCACTGTGTAATGATGTTCAGTGCGTAGCTCAGGAGGACTAACTGATGGTTAGTATATTAGTGTGCATGGGTATAGGTAGTCAAATCTAGTCCACTGAGTGGTTAGTTAGCTTAATTGCACTTTCCAGATTACTTGCTGCTTAGTGTAATGCAGAAAGAGCTGGATCTTAACACGTTTTCTCTCTGTATTGCTTCTCACATTCTTTTTTATTCCTGAAGTTACTGTACTGGGCAAAATGTTTCCCTAGAAAAAGCAAGGTATGTGATTATAATCAAGTGAACAACTTGGAACCACAAAACCCCCACAAATCACATTTGTTTATAACTTGTTAGTTCTTTTGTTTGTTTCAGAAAAGCCTATTACGTTTACTCTTAAATGATACAATATGTCCAGTGTGATCTTTTGGTTTAAACAACAAGAATAGCTGTTTCTCAGATTTTACTCTCTGCAGCTTCTCAACGTTTTTCATTAAACAACAGAACTTCTAAACTTTAATTCATAAATTCACCTTTTAACCTCATTGATCATCATAATGAACCTCAATAGCTAGATGTTCACATTACACAAACTCTATTGTGGTTCAGATCTGGGTTGATTTGTTTTTTGAAAGATCTTTGGAATACTGGTTTCTACTTTGATTATATGTGTTGAGAAACTTTAATGTGAATATTCCTTTTTATTTAAATAAATAGATGCTTGTTTGAAAGAAAACTTACTTACACCAAAAGGTCATAGGAAGCTTACTAATTTAGGCATAAATGGCCCTGGTATTTTATAATTTCTGAATTTGCTAACCTTTTTACATGTGTAGTTTAGATAATTGCAATAATTTCCTTCTTTCAGCTCCTAAAAGTAGGCATTTTCCCCTTTACCCTTAGAGATGAATTTATATCAATAGGGAAGTAATGAATAAAACCACGGAGTACTACCAAAGCCAGCAGTACAGTTTTGCCTTGAATGTTGCTACTGAATAGATATTTCTGTTGAGCACTGTGAACCTATCACTAATAACAGGTTAATACTAAAATTAACTCGCAGAAAAACCCAGAAGTATTGAAAGGCTTTGCATAACTCTTAAGTAGTATGTATGTATTATGTTGCACATTGGCTCTCTTGTGATGTCTTTTGTCTTTCTATTATTTAATTTAATTGATAAACCTGATGGAATGGGTATTTTTCATGTAGTGGAAGCATTCTCACTGCATCTTTTGCACCAGAGGATCTCATATCAGCTGTATTGGAAGCGGAACTCAATATTGTGAGTGTATTTCTGGTGTAAAGATGCTTTGTGTGTCCTTGTGCATGTTATGTTCACTTTTACAAAAATATACACATTTTAATTTTGTAATCAGTAAACATACAAATTTGAAGAAATATCAAGACATCCAGGTTCCAGTTCAAACACACTATGATCCGAGCAAACACCAACTCTAACCATTCCATGATTCAATGAAATTCTATACGTTATGCAGGAGAACAGCGTAGAAGATCATGGTAATGTCCCCTCTTGACCCCAGGCTCTTCTTATTTGAAGCTTATTGATAACAAGTGCTGTGACATATTCACAGACAGTTGTTCAAAGCTGTTGACTTGAAAATATTCTTTTTTCTAAAAATATTTGGCTGATTCTTTGGTAAAAGTTGCCTTCAGGCAAACACATGGAAAATTATACAGCTTATTAGAGCTTAAACTGAGAACAACTCTTGATAGCTGATGTTCACACATCACTAATAGCCTGAAAAGCCATGGGTTTTAGACAGTGGTATTAAAAGCAAATTCTATGTGATACATTGCACAAATGTCAGTCCTATTCATAAAAGGGTCCAAAAGTAAAAATGTATCAAACCAGCTTTCTGAATGCCCCTGTTCATTATTTGGCTGACTTGGAAAACTTGGAGTGTTTTGTATCCATTTCATTATCTCCAAAAAGCATGAATTGTAGTGGAATTTACATAAAAATCCTGCTGGAGAGTGGAGACTTTACTGCACAGTCAGCTGCCCCCCTAATCCAATCTTCCCCAATGCAGTTGTCCCGGCAGTTTCCAAACTCTAACAGTGGGGATCTCCTTTGTTAAGAAAAGTATGAATTTGAGCTTTAAAATGAGCAGAAGTCTTTTCTATTACTCAGGATGCCTCCTCTTGCTGAGTTTACATGAGATGTCTAGCAGGAGGTGTTATTAAATAGCCTCAAAAATTAGGCAAAAAAACAATTATCTAGAAAAGGGACACAAATGGCTTAAAGAAATGAGCATTTGAATTTTCATTATTGAGTTATCCATGGGACACCATACCACTATTTGAATTTTAGTATTAACCCTTTCCATAAAAACAATTTAATACTTTTAATCAGTTTTGAATTACACTTTGTGGAAAGCACAAGTTGGGAATTTTAAAAAGCCTCCTTCATTTCTTTCGATGTTACTTCAGTGCTCTCATGTTTGCACTTATCTCAAAAGAGTTTTAACTTTGTATTAGATTTTTTGTGAAGGTTGATTACATGGGCATTTCAGTCTCACCTTCATTCTTTATTTAGCTGAAATTCCTAATCACTTCAGTGGGTGGTAGACAGGACTGAAGTGTTCCTTTAGATGAATTTCAGCTTCTAAAAAATCTTAGGGGTTGAGTAATGTATTCTTGTTTATTTTTTCCACTTTACAGATAAAATCTAGAGGTCATTTATCATCACCTGGATAGAAGTGATTTAAAGCTGTTCACAGTTTAGGCTGGCAGCCATTTTCTGAACTTCAGCAAAACATCAAAATCAGAAGAGCAAGTAATAATTTCACAGTGATTTCATATGACCCTTGCAAAAGGGATACAGGTAAAAGTATACATACTGCTAGGGAATTCTATTTTTGCTTTATTAACAAAAAGCATCCAGCTGCTCCTGCCTCAGGAAAAATGCTTTTCAAATAAACATTAAGGAACCTATGCTCTTTTATTCTCTTGAAAGTAAGGTTTTATAACAGGTCAGTCTCCCTTTTTGTTCTGAAGGATCCACCCTGGTGTTCACATCTGGTCATGAGACTCTACCCACTTTCCTGGTCAGTTTACTCTCTGAGTTCTGCTTATTCGTTTCCTTCTTATTGTTGCAGTTTTCATATCAGTTTTTTTGTATTCTCTTTTACATTTCTTTTCATAAGCTTTTCTTTGTTATAATCCCTCTAACAGTGGTGTTCAATTTAAGCGTCATGGAACAGTAAAACCAAGCTCCTATAGCAGAAAATGTGTACTCTTAGAGGTCGTACAGTCACTAACAGAAATCTTCATTTGGTTTCCTTTGTTTTCATTGAGTTCTATTGATTTCTACTGTAGTACCGGTCTTCCCAAGAGCCAGTAGGGGAGCAGTCCTTTGGCTTTCTTCCAAAATGCATTTTCCAAATAATAGCATTAGAAAACTCCTGGACTTTCTAATAGAGAAAACAATAGCAGTATCCAAGAACTGTACACCAGCATCCTTTGAGTCTGCCCATTTAGCCACTATGCTGAACTGTACACTCATTTAGAAAGATCTGCAGAAACCTCTGGCATCAATGGATTTACAAGGGCAGAGGTTACTTGACACTAATAGCACCGATGAGAATAAGCTACTATAAGCTTTCTTTACCTGTTTTAAAAAAAAGTTCAGTTTCCAGGCAAGTATGGTATCACTTCACTTCAGACCTATGTAGAAGATACATCTTTGGATGATTTGGCAGATGTTGTTCTTTCGATGACCTACCTTAATTTTTTAATATGCTTTTATGTGGACAGTATTTGTTTCTCCCTCTGAAAGGAATTCTTAAATAGAGTACAGCCTTTTTTGTTGACGTAAATGCAGTCTTGGCATTTGTCTGCTTATATTATGACATTGCAGTCA